GATTATTAATGGATGTTTGCAGCTGTTTCTCCTCAATTTGAGCCGTGCCATGTCAGCAAATGGAGGTCTCGAAAGCTCTACCTTATCCATGTGAGTAAGGCTGGTTTTACTCTGATGATGCAGCTCTTTCCCAGTCCTATTTTGAGAGCCTTTTAACCTAAGTGACTCATCTTCCTCCTCTGTATTTGATAATGTTTCCGGACTACTCATAAAGTTGTGCAGTAATGTATCAGACAGTGTTTCTCTGCTATTCACAATGTTTTCCCTGGCCAACTCTTTAAGAAGTGGATGGCCTCTTCCTTCTTCCTAATCTGTCTCAGTCTGCAAGCTGTGCTGAAACTTGTGTACCATGTGTACCCTGCTGGGCTTGAAACAATGGTGGCACAGCCTCAAGACTCACAGCATGTCACCACAGTAGGACAAAGCGCCAGACAAGTTTGTCTCCCTTAGCTGTTGGAAACCTCTCCAACCTCCCCTTATCTGGATCCCTACTGCTGCCTCCTCATTCTGTCCTGGTCCCCCTGGCCTTTTTCTGTCTTTTCCACTGCTTTCCCACCTTGCTGTTTGTGGGGTGTGGCTTAGGGTCCCTTCCCTCACCTGGCTCCCTGTGGCTGACTCTTCGCTCTGTCCCAGTCCCCCTGGCCCTTTTCTGTCCTTTTCCACCTTGCCGCTTGTGGGGCGTGGCCTGAGTTCTCGCCCCTCACCTGGATCCCTGATTCATAAGGTAGTTGGCTATTTTTTTTTTAAGTAGATTACCAGACCTTTCCTCCTAGTCTGTCTTAGTTTGGAAGTTCTGCTGAAACCTGTCCCCCATGGGTGACCCTGCTGTTATTTGAAATGCCGGTGGCATAGCCTCCAGCCTCCCAGCAACATGCCAGCCACCACAGTACAGCAAACTGACATAAAAGTGGTGGTTACACAGGTGAGGCAAATCTAAACCACCAGGTAGTACTAGAATACCTCTGTCATGGATTTAGGGCTGTGACAACAACCAAGTTGTAAGGAATAAAATTATTTCTAGAAATATTATTGGGGTGGATGAAACAAAGGAGAAATCAGTGATCACCAAGATACAGAAGTAAGCTAAGAGGTAAGGTCAGAGTCATGACAAAATCATACAGCTTAAAGATTTTAAAAGAAAATCTTCAATCCAAAACAAAGATAGTGGTGGGCTGGGAGGAGGAAGGACATGAAAGGGATAAAATGGAGTAGTGGTTTGAATGGTCCTGCTCCTACTCACAAAAACAGAAAGACAGTAAGTCCAACCTGGAAGCCTTGAAAGTGACCCCAGTTGGAAAAGGAGTTTTTAGCAGATGTAACTAGGTGAAGGATCTCAAGAGGAGATCATCTTGGATTATCCTGGTGAGCCCAAAATCCAATGAGGATTGTCCTAAAAAGAAGAGGAAAAGAAAACAGACAGAAGGGGAGAAGGCATGCAGAGGAGGCTGGTACTATGTCAAGAAGACAGAGGGAGAGATTGGAATGATGGGTTTCAAGGCAAGCAGCTCCTGTAACCACCAGAAGATGGAAGGGGTAAGGAAGGCCACTCCCCTGGGGCCTTGATTTTGGACTTCCAGCCTCCAGAACTAAGAAGGAGTAAGTTCCCACTGTTTTAAGACACTGGGTTTGTGGTCACTCATTACGGCAGCCTTAGGCAACGAATAGAGGGCTTCTCATTACCATGCTGTGATTTTTGGGATGAGAACCATGTCCTCTAGCCAGATTCTCTCTTCATGTTTTGCCTGCTATTGTTCAAAGCCACTGAGATGTGTTGGAAGAAAGGCCTGGCAACCTGCTTCTGGAAGGCCGCAGCCTGGACAACCCTATGGCATGCACTGCTACTCTGTACACATCGGGTCACCATGAATTGGAAGCCACCCACGGCCAAGTGGTTCTTTTTATTACCAAACAAGCACTAAGGACACAGCTCACTTTCAGTGAACTACACTCTGATTCCCATGGTGACCACATGAATAACAAATGTGGGATCAGGAGAAACGTCTTTTATTTTCCCCCAAATGCAAAGGGGCATGCATGAGGTCTGTTAATGCAATTGATCAGATGCCCTGTCCCGAGGGGGAGATGGTTTCTTGCAGCACGAGGTGAACGAGGTGGTTCTGCTCGGCGCTCAGCAGTGGCCACATCTCCGCCTGCAGTGACTTGACGGCTTCGATGTCCTTTTCGTGGGTCGCCATGACCAAGGACTGGAGCAGCAGAAAGAGCTCCTCGGGAAGCTGGCCACTGCTCTCCTGCCCGTGGCCGTCGAAAGCCTCCCAAGAGTACTTCTCCAAGGTCTGGGAGTGCGCGGGCAGCAACTTGCCGGGCGGTGGCTGCAGGAGCAGGAGCAGCAGCAGCAGCACGCGGGACACCTCGCAGCGGACCAGCACGTCGGAGAAGGCACCCAGCGCGGCAGGCGAGGGCACCGCGGAGGCACCGTTAGCAGCGAGCGGCACTGGTAGTGCGGAGGCCGTGTCGGGGCCCGCGGCGGCCCCGGGCAGCGGCGGCCCCAGCAGCGGTGGCGGCGACGGCTGCACCGGGTGGGTGCCGTGCTCCCACGCCAGGCGCTGCATGTGCGTGAAGACCGCCAAGGCCGCGTTGTAGTCGCGCGCCAGCAGCTGGCAGGAGGCGGCCTCGCCGAGGGCCTGCAGAGCCGCCAGGGGCATCTGGGGCAGCTGCAGCT